CCCAACCTCTTTCACAACATGTGACACATTATTTCAGCCATTAACTTCCATTTTCTTTTCTCTGCCTTCTTCAAAAGCCCTGCAGTACCGCTTCTCTTTCCATATTTCCAACATTTATGCAATTGCAAATGACTTTCTCAATAGCAGTCCCTTTAAAATAAAGTAATTTTCAGCCAATAATGTGTTCTTATTTAACATTACCTAATCACCAATCAAATCTTTAGCTCTTAACTGATTTATACAGAAAGGTCTTCATCATCAGTAATTAGCTGGAGTTTGATTCCATTACCGCTCCCCTGTGATAGGGAGTGGACCTTTCATCAGACAGCGGGTCATCAGCCTAGGATTTTCCAGAATTCATGTACGTAGAAAGACTGAGCTTTCCAAACGAGTTTAGAAGTGAGGTACCCAACCACGGTCTAAATGTCAGTAGCATCAGATCAAGGGTTCTTTTACACTTTAAAAAGAAATAATCTAAAGTTAGTAAGACTATTTATGTTTTTGAGATTCTAACTTCACTTGAAACTGTTGTTTTAAACAACAGTTAATTTTTACCACTGTTTCAATATTATGCAATATAACCGATTCCTTTTTTTTAAAAAAAAAAAAGAGCATTGTACACCATTGAGCAACAGCAATGGTTTCTGGTCATTAAGCAGCTTTGAAGTAAACTGTACTTTTGATTTATGTTACAGGTAGTTTACTGGTATGATCCAGTCTGGCAAGTTTTGTGCTTATGTCTGTATTTCCATTCAGAAAAAACAATTATAATTTCAACATACTAGAAAGCGATAGAGAAATATTTGTTGCATTTATGATAAATTGTCATGAGTCATATGTGGTTCCCTCTGAAGTATAAAAGCTTTCTCTGTGATTAAGTGAAGTAAACTACAGAGTAAGCAAGCTACTCTAGGACTTTTAAAAAGGACCATTTAACATTAAGATCAAACTACTTGTAAGATGCTACAGCTACCATTAAAAAACTCTGAACATACTCTAATTATTTTTTTTTTTGAAGGCTGCACATGAATATTTTAATAGTATGACTGATATAATTTGTTCTTATACTTCCTATTTTTAAGGACAGATTAAGGCAGCTATTATTAAGTATTTAATACTTTGTACTCATCAGCAATTCAATTCCCGAATGCAGACAGACAAATTCAGGCTGCCAACCGCAGAGGGTATTGTGCTGGTACAACATGCACAGTGTTTTGGTTCCTAACAGGTGTAAGCAGGATCCTTGAATGACATTTGAATGTTAGGTCAAGATATTCATCACTACTTTGAACACACACACAGATCAGCTGGCAGGAACCTATCTGTCTGGGAACCCAGTCTCAGGGTTGTGTGGCCACATCTCTGGGACTGGATGTTCAGGCCGGTAGCTGAGATCCAAACACAGTTTAATATTAACATGTCTTTCACCACAAAACCCTGTGGAGCTGGCGTAAGTGAAGTTAGCATTCACTGCCACAGAAACGCTACCTTTCCCTGAAATTATTTGTATTTTGCACAATAACAGTTGCCCCAGGAACGTTCAGATTTTCTAAGCAAATTTTCCCAGTTCTCCTTACCTGTGCAGCAGGAGAACAACTGATCATGTTGGCTGGCCCTGCTTCCTCGCTGCGTCTGCAGTATTTGAATATTTTAAAGAATCACCCTTAGGAGCCGATGTTCATACACTGCATTTTATATCTTGTCTCCTGAAGCAAGAAGAGGGATAAAAAAGCCTGTGACCTGATAAGTCTTTGAAGTGATGTGGTGTTTGTGAGTCACAACTTTTCAGACATGAAAGCTTTGCTTAGAAGGTCTGAAAAATGTATTGCTACTAGAGATGTTCTGAAGGCTGGAACAAGTGAGTGAAATCTGCCTTTTTTTAAATTTTATTTTATTTTAAGATGTTTGAAATAATGCCTTAAGCTGTGCTCATGTTACTTGTGGCAACCTGCTGAGACAGTTACAGAGATAAGAGAACATGGTAAAATGAGATGAAAAAAAAAGGTACTGAATGTGTTTGACTTCAATGATGATATTTTTACAATTTAAATTGGGAAATTTGTTCTGTATTCTGATTGGGATATCTAGGTGTTCTACATTGTGTATCTATAGTGATTTCCTCTGAAGGCTCAGCGTACCTCAGTACTCATCATGTCCAGGCTGCAGCTTTGGCTGAGACAAGACCTTGGTCATTTCTCGAATCTTTAGTTTTTCTTTTTTTTTGGACAGAAATTATGCAATTGTCAAATCAGTGCAGGTAGGCTTCAACCTCTCTGGCCACCCTGCTCTGCATCAGTATGCAGACCCAGAGACTGGATCTATGCCCCCAAGACATTTCTCCTGGAGCACTGGTTCCAATTTTACTGGTTCTGCTCTGCCTCATGTTCTTTTTCATCATACACCAGCAAATTCATTTTTTCAAAGTATTTTGTGATAAGCACAACAGCGATATATTCAAATCTGAAGGCAATCTGCAGATATGAATCCATGAACAACAACATACAAAAAGTTGGCTTAGAAATCCCAACCCTTTTCAGCTGCCAACAAGCAGATTTGCAAAGCTGGACAGAAATGCAAACCTCTCACTGAGGGCCAACGTGCTGCCCTCCAAACCCCCCCCCAGAAAGAGTCATGCTGTTAAGTCTTTTCAGCCTTCCATATTCTACTGATGAACAAAACTGCTGCCTGTCTCCTGTGATCTGGACTGACTTGGACAAATTGATTTCTTAGTGATTACAAAATTCCTGTGATAAATCCGAACATCTTACATGGTGATTCAGAGGTGAAAAGTTAAGCAAGTTCAGCTCTCAGAAATCCAGCCATGCAGCAGTTTTACTGTGTTGCAAGAATCTTCCACTATTTTAAAACAGATTAAAAGTTGTCACATCTTCAAAATACATTAAATTACAATTATTTTAAATTTGGAATTTAAAGATAATAAATAATCTTTGTAATCTGCTCATGAGATCCTACCATGGATTACATACTCCATCACTGCTTTTTGTACTGCTTCTATCAAATGTTGATTCAAGGAGCTACGTGCAGTCTGAGCAGGCAACCAGTATCACTGTCACAGCTATCACCGAACGAGCCCTAATGCAGAACCACTTCTGCTGAAGAGCAGCTAAGAAATCAAAGAAAACAGCCAATTTTCTACCGTACCTCTAAGAAATTCTTGTTTGATGTTTATGTGCGCGTGAATCAGCCTTAGAAGAGCTGAAGAGTTTACTCATCTGAGATAAAAGCACTTCAGATGCTCCGCATACAGTAAGGCCGATGATGGATTTTTGGGAAAGAGAAATAAATGAATCAAAGAGGTCGGACATTTTATTTGGTATTGTACATACACACAATCATTTCATTGACTCGGGAGGACGCTGAAGACCTGAAAGGAAAGGGAGATTTCTCTAAGTCATTTGGAGTAATTGATAGTTTTTTTGACATGGCTACAGAACAAAAAGTGTAATGTGTGTCCTTTGTGTAGCAGTCAGGCATGCACTTTTTTTTTTTCCTGTTCCACAACACCCCCTCACATTCTCTGTCTCTGGGATAGGGCATAAACAAGCCATGGAAAATGACCAATATTGAGCAGGTTAAATATTTTAAAGTGAACTCAGAATCACTCTATTATCTACAAGGATATACTTGAACAAATTTTACTTAGTAATACTCAGAAACTGTGGCTAAAATTGGCTCTGCAATTATTCAGCCTGCATCTGCCATTTCAGGTCTCATTTCATCCACTTATGCTTCTGGCCCTCACGACAGAGCTACGAACACAGTGCTCGGACTCAAAAGCTACATCTGATTTACTGACCTTCAATTTCAGTGGCAAATATTTTCCCCTAAGCTTTGAGTGGAAGCATTTTTTCCCCCAAATATTGATCATAATGAAGATATGAGCTGGCAACATGCGCTCGCAGCCCAGAAAGCCCCCCAGCACCCTGGGCTGCATCCCCAGCAGGGCCAGGGGGGGATTCTGCCCCTCTGCCCCGCTATGGGGAGACACCCCCCAGTGCTGCCTCCAGCCCTGGGGCCACCACCAGCAGAAGGACATGGAGCTGTTGGAGCGGGGCCAGAGGAGGCCCTGGAGATGCTGGGAGGGCTGGAGCCCCTCTGCTGGGAGGGGGGGCTGAGAGAGTTGGGGGGGTTCAGCCTGGAGAGGAGAAGGCTCCGGGGCTTCCAGTCCCTCAAGGGGCTCCAGGAGAGATGGGGAGGGACTCTGGATCAGGGAGGGGAGCCATAGGATGAAAGGGAATGGTTTTAAACTGAAAGAGGGGAGATTGAGATGAGATCTGGGGAAGAAATTCTTTGCTGTGAGAGTAGTGACACCCTGCCATAGGTTTCCCAGAGAAGCAAGCTGTCCCTGCCCACAAAGGTTCGACCTAGAGGATCTTTAGGGTCCCTTCCAACCTGAACCATGCTATGATTCTGTATAACTATATCCGATATCCAGCTAGAAGCAATTAAAACAAAGCAACAACCCGGAGCTCTCTCCCGCCGCTCTTGTGCCCCTCCCGGCCCAACGAGGGCCCCTCAGGAAACGGGCATCTCTCACCCTTCCCTCAGGCGCTGCTGGACCCTCTGGAGGTCCTTAACCTGTATATCAACACATATTTATCTATGCACGCGTATGTATTTTGGGGGGGAAGCGCTGGGTGTAGCGGCGATTGTGGAGCTGGGTGTGGTGGGCCCAGCTGGGACGTTAATCACTTCAGACGCTAATTAACGATCACAGGCGGTGATTGTGCTTCTGCGGTGTCAAAGGACCACCTGCCACGCGCTTTTACTCCCTCAAGTCCAAGAGTTTTCTTCCGTACCAGCTTCTGGGCACGAACAACCTGCCCAAACCCAGCGGTCCCCCCACGCCGTCTCTCAGGGCTCTCCTCACCCCCGGCCCCAGGGCGACCGGCCGCCCGAGGCTCCCCGCCGCGGGGCCGGGCCTGGCTCTCGCCGGCCGCGTCGCCTGGTAACCCGCGGAAACGGAAACGCGCGGGGCCGGCGGGGGCCGCCGGGAGCGGGGTCGGTTTGAACCGTTCGACAGGGCCGTGCGCGGGGCGGCCGTTGCCCCGCTGAGGGGGGCCGGGGCCCGCCGGCCCGGCTCGGCCCCCCCCGTCCCTCAGAGAGCGAGGTAACGGGGCGGCGTGTCCCGGGGGCAGCGCGGGGAGAGGGGCCGGGGGAGGCTGCCCGGGGGGTGCCCGGCCGGAGTGCGGGGCCTGGGGGGGGTTTGTGGCATAACAGCCCTGCAAACTGTGGTCAATCGCTGCTGATCGGCCGGGGGGCTCGTAGGAGGTGGTTTGATAACGGGCCCGAAGGAAGGAGGTGGGAAAGGGGTTGTTTTCTCCCCTCAGGGGGGGCGGCCGGGGCCGGGGCCGGGGGGGGTTTGTCCGCAGGGAGTGGCCCCTCGGCCTCAGCTGTTGTGCTCGGCTCCCGCTGGTGAGGAAATGTGCCCGTTTTAAGCTCAAATGCACAAAAAAGATGCGTACTTCTGCTGGGAAGTGAAGTGACAGGTGACCTTAAAGAGCTGTCTTTTCAATACTCTCGTTAAAAGCCAAATCTGACAACGTTTATTGGTTTTGCTGCTCGTCACTCATAGGTCTTTGGCTGGTTTTCCTCCTTTTTCCCCTTTGAAAGAATAATGCTAGCTCTAAGGAAGAGAAACATACGAATGTGGCTATGACCAATTTATTTAGGTATTTTATACATGCTGACATAAATGCCTCTAGGTGTTTATACAAAATGTGTGTAATTGAATACCTTTTTGTGTGGTTAACTAGTCACTTTCAAATGTAAACAAAACATGCTCTTGTAGATTACATTGAATATCTGTTGTTTGTAAAGAAGAGCTCTCATTTTTGTATTTGACTATAATAAAATATATAGTTTTATTTTCCCTGTAGCTCCAAAGCACATCTTTGCATGGCCTAAGATGAACAGAGACTAATGTGTAAGGGTATTTGATCATTTTTACTTCAATGTGAATAATTTTGCAGGTCACTTTGTGTTCTTTCAAAATGAATGGTGAAGAGGAAATATGGGAAAAACTAGATGCAGAATTTGATCACTGTGTTGTGGATATGAAGCCTCACGTTCTAAAACTGCAGCATAGGTCAGGTAAATATGGTAAAACATGCATATAGAGAAGCACTAATGACAAAATTCTAGGTTGCTGATGGTTGTGTGTACTTGTGTCACTTTCTTTAACTAGACACTTAAAGTCTGATGTAACAAGGCACTGCTTTGAGGGGGGGGGTTGCACAATTTATAAAGTTGATTTTTTTTCAGTACCTATTGCTGTTGTACGATCTTCTCTGTCTTGGTGATGTAAATGTGCTTTTGCATAAATACATTAATATCTCTATTTTTAAAAAAACCTAATTAAGTAGAAATGAAAAGCTTCTGAATTACTTTTTTTTGAGATTGCACTTAAAAAGCTGCAAATTTTTTTTTAGAGGTAAGGTTTTTTAGAATTTGGCTTAGGAATGAGCAATAATATAAACAGCAATTAATAAATGATCTTTTATAAATCTAATTATTAGAACAAAGTGATTATTATTAAGGGCACAAACCCTACAAATTGAGACCTTGCTTTGTAAACATTTAATCAAATTAATAATTTTATTGTCTAGTGGCAAAGCTTGTGTAAATAGAGATCTTTTTAAAAATGAACGAAGATTTATTGTGTGTTCAAAAAATTAATGCTTAAGCGGCCTTTATGTTGTATTAAATGGCAGCTCTTGCAGTGAGTTCAGAATTCCTGGTGGCTTCTGTTTTCTGTACTTATTCTGAACATGCTATTTCTGGAAGTCACGTAAACTTCTGGTAAACATGAATTTATAGAAACATTTCTGGATGATGTAAATTTGACGTGTTATTAGAGAGTTATTTTTAATCTAGGTATTTAAGGATTTTTTTCCTCTGGTTCGGTCATTTGGGGTTTTTGTTTGTTTTGCTTAAAACTTTTGGATAGAAGGGAAACATCTACAAAACTGATGAGCAGTAATGGCTTCTGGATTTTCTATGTGTTCAATTTGCTCTGAAAATGTATAGTGATTATGTATATCTATATTTTCAGAACGGCAAAGATGTGCGCTGTGGATTAAAAAACTCTGTGAGCCCTCGGGAGCGGGCACAGGAATAGTGGGGAGGAAGAATCGGAACCTCTATGCAAAGCTGTTGCTCCACATGCTGAAGCGAGGGGTGCTGGAAGGTCCCTTCACACATAAACCAGAACCAGGAATACTGAAAACTTTACCTTCATACATGGTGGGTGTAACTTCACATAAATGTGAAAAACAATTCTGAACGAGTTGGGTGGAATTCGTTGTGGTAAATGCAGGCAATTTACGTTGCATATCTTGTAACTGGTGTTGGAAAAATCTTTCAGTGTGCAAAACCTTTTATGAGACCTGTTTCTTCTTCAAAATTTGAGTTTAAGACGACTTATAGAAACAGGTGTTCTAAAGGGACAGAAAAATATTTTTTGTCTAATTCTTTGAAAATATGTAATAAAGGACTCTTGAGATTATATTTTCGGTTTAATCAGCAGATAGTTCTTGTGAATGGAAAAATGTGCTTAAATGAGGTGACTATAGTGGCCTTTCTATGAAAGAAAAGCATTTCAGATAGATATTCTTAAGCTTTTGAGACCTGAATATACTGGGTCAATCACTGCCATCAGCTTTAGTGAGAGAACGGTCCTAATTTGTGCTAAAATGACCCACAGTTAGAGAAGTAAAGTACTGGAAAACATTGCCTCTCTGCCTCTTGTACTAATTTCCATGGGTTGGGAAGGTAATATTTGCACACCTCATTGACTTCCTCGGCAAAAGAGTTTTTATATCTGCAGGAAGAGACATTAACAGTGTAAAGTATATATTTGTGTAAATATATGCTAGTGTTGATTTTGCATTTATTTTAATTACAGTCAATTTACTTTGATGAACCAAATTCAACACGAGTTCGGAGCAGTAGCCCAGAATGCTTACCTGACTGGGTAATGGGAGAGCTAGGGAACAGTGAATCAAAGCATGAGGAATCATGGAAGGTGTCTTCTAAAGAGGAATTGTCTTCATCAGCACCACTTACGTATGGGTAAGATTTCTGTATTTGCTTTATTTGGTATTGGATTCATATTTAATAAATGTTTAATTTGATAAGCTCCGTCTGTATGAATTTGTATGTTTGAATTTATTACACCCCCTCCTGGACTCATCTTGAATATAGTGTTTGTACTTTATGTACAGAGACTGTGGTAATAGCTCCTAACTTAATGGTAACTTTTACAATTTTCTGTTATTACATTCCTCTATTATGTCTTCTCTGGCTTCTGTGAGTCTTTTTCCATGTCCCGTAGCTCTGTTCCCTTTGTCTTGTTCTCCTTCCCTCTCAGTTATAGACACTTAGCACAGAAATTCAATAGGCCAAACCAATAGTTTGAGGTATGTAGCAGCAACTGAAAAGGGGGATTTCTAGTGATTTGGACCAGTGACTACCGTGGGGTACACAGGACTTACGTGAAGAGCCTATTTGCTAACATAGAAAAAGGAACTTTTTTGCGCCGTTCTCGTCTCTCTTCATCTTAGTACTCTGTAGACTTCACAAGTAGATAATAGCTATTGTTCTGACATTCTGAATATCTCTCAAATAAGCTGGTACTCTGGTTATGTTTTTCAGACCTCAGATATCATGGTGGCAAAGCACAGTGGTCACAAGGCAAGAGGCAGAATTCATACAAAATTCATACAAAAACTGGGAAAGGGAAGCACAGAGAAATGTGGACAGGCAGTAAGGAAGAAGTGATGTGGTAAAAGGCTGTAGAGATGCAGAAGACTCTCAGGCCAGACTTTTCTTAAAATAGATCAAAACAGTTTCTGTCCCCTTGAAGTTCTTGTACAGTCCTATTTTCTGCATGCTGATGTATGGAAACTGGAAAGTGGTATTAACTAATGAAGCTGAGGTGGATTAATATTCACTATTTCTATGGTTCAAAATAAAAGGAATGCACAGTAAGCAAGTGATAAAAATGTGGGGGAGAGTAAACATACAATATTTAAAAAAAAATAGTTGTAGTCTAAGATCATAATGGTGAAAGGAGCTTTAATATAAAACAGGTTTTATTGCCTTTTTTTCTATAGAGAATAGAAATACAAACAAGCATACAGATGGTAGATTTAAAGGATATTCTATCATGGTTGCTCACAGATGTTCTAGAGGAAACAGAATAGTGGCTCCCTGCAGATAAGCAAGTTTTGCTATTCTGTGACAAAGGAAGAAGTTAGGTGCATACAAAGAAAGAGGGATTTGATCCATCTTTTTGTGAACATAATCTTATTAAACACTTATCTGTCTTGCGTTTCATCATGGTTTCTTCATGAAATAGCAAGATTTCTCTATATTTCCTGCAAGCTTCATGAATCTTGGATTACAGAAGGTCAGACTGGACCAGCTATACTTGTTAAAACTTAATGAGACTAAAAATCAGAGTTGGTGCCTGCGGGATGCTCTGCTGTGTTGTTTTGTTCTCCTGTGTGGGGAGGATTGTTTGTGATGATCCATCCCTATCTGAACAATCTCTGAGTTTGGTCTAAGATGTTTTGATTTGTACCGTGCTGTCCATTACAAATACATGTGCTTTGTGGGTGACTAGCACCCCCTGTGCCGAGATCCTGCCTATTTGTCATTAGGATAACACAAAAAATTCAGTATTGCTTATTTGCAGCTGTACAGCAGAAAGCTGAGGATCTGTAGCTGCACCTTGTTATGAAAATCCATTGGACAGTCTCTTTTTGTAGGTTTGCAGGAGCCAGTAGGCTTAAGCTGCATCCCTAGTTCCAATTAGCTGGGTATAGAGCTGTTTACAAAGCAGGTGAAGTGAAATGTATCAGGTTATTAAGGCTTGTTTTCCTGTTGGCTTAGAAACAAGTCCCTGCAGTATTAAAGGTGTGCCAAGCTGGTCAGTTGGACAGTGTTGAAAATTATAGGCCTTTTTTTTTCTGTCCTATTTTTTGGGAGTCTTAAGTAAAGTTTACTTTAATCTGCATTCTGTTCTTAAATATTTACTTTATTTCTGTTTTTTTTTCTTCCGCAGTGCAACTTTGCACTGATTATCAAGATCTATGTTCCTTTTTATATTTTTTTTTTTTAATGTGGCTGCATTTCAGTCATGGATGGAATTGCATCTTGTTTGCTCTTTTTGAAGTTTAGTTAATATTTAAACTCTCTGAAGTCCTTGGTGGAAAAAGCGCTCTTAGAGGTAGGGCAAGAATATTGTTTGAAACTCAGTAGGCTCTGTCCAAGGGGAAGTTAAGTGTTTGCTCTACTTCTCTATGAAGCTTCTGGTTTGGTCTCATTGTATTATAAGTATGCTCTCAGGAGTTGTTTCAGAAGTCTGATGCCTCTTTTTGTGTTCACTTGTATTTTTCACAAATGGCTATCACTGTGTTCTGGTGGTGGTTTTTTTTTTTTTAGGAACATTCATGTTTATGCTGTATGTCAGTGTGCCAAATCTTGCATTCTTAAATTTTTCAGCTGTGATTTGGATAGATGACAGACAGGCACTGTCTGTGCAAGCTACATCATGTTGATACTGAATTTTGTGAAACTTTTCCTCTTACTTATCCATTAACTGCCTGAAATTCTAACAGTCATTTAAAAAGTTGCTCTTAGGACTGATGCCTCTCCTCTTTCCAAGTCTGATGTTGTTAAAACTAAAGGACCTTCTGGTTGCTTACACTCAAATGCTCCGATATGAACCTGTGGTTTTGATAATGGACTTGTGGTTTAAGAAACAAAGGTGGTGACTGGAGAAATGGCCAGCTGGGTTACTGTATCGCTGCTTTTGGCTCAGTCATAGGGAGAACTCTCTTGGGAAGAGCTGTCCAAATAAGCTCGATTTAAAAAAAATTAGTTTTTACCTTATGAAAACAGCTTTACAAATGATTTTTGAGACCTCAGCTAAATCTGTGTTTGGTAGTGTTGTGCCCTGTCAAGGTGCTTGGTGTGGATCTGATTGGATTGTCTTGGCCACTTGGAGTAGCATGTTGTGATAAAGTGTCACTCTGGGTATTAGCAGCAATAGAGCAACATCAGCACAACTCTCTGCTATTAGGCCTCATCTAGCATATTGATATCTCTACAAGGCCATATTTGTGGCATAAAAACACACCTAATTCCTCCGAATTCCTTATGTGTGCTGTCAGCTGGGGTGTTATTGAGTGGGATGCAGCAGCACACTCCTCCCTCTGCATCCAGCTGGTGCTTATCCCTGTTTGAGGAAGACAGAGGTGCTGTTCCTCCTACTCCCTCCCCTGGCTGCTTTGCCAGATTTTTTCTCTCTCCACTATCTATCTGGATTATAGTAGAATATTGGGAATCTGACCCCTTTTCCCATTCAGTATGTGAACCTAAGAGTTAGTTTGGTCTGGCAAAGTTCCCTAAAATGTGGGTGGGGCAGTGAAGTTCTATTTAATTTGTTTTGGGTTTTTTTTGTCCTGTGGGACTGTAGCAATACCTGTGTTGGGGATCAACAGATGGCTCCCAAGGCTCTGGCGAGTTCTCTGGAGACCCGTAGTGCATAATATGGGTCAAGAGAAGCAAGTAAATGTGATGGAGGAAGTTACTGGTTTAGAGAAATCTGAAAGTGAAACTTGAGCTGTACGGGCACTGCTCTGCTAATGGGCACTCATGCCAAGGGTGGAGCTGTGTATTTGGAAATATGAATTTGTGTTGCAATTACAAGTTTTGATAGCTCTGTAGATTACATAAATTAATCTTCATAGCAATGAGAAACTTAAATGTGTGAGTTACGCAGGAAGAAATACTGGAGGTAAATGTTCAGCTGTTACATTTTGTAGAAATAGCTTACTTAATATTTATTTACATGTGTCTGTATTAAGATATTAGCTTTATTCAACACATAGCTCCGGTGTTTCTTTGTATCTACAGTTTTGCTTGCACTGATAGCTCATTCAAAGCTGTCGAGTACTAAATGTTTCTGAATGTGCAGTTTGTGAGGGACCCAGCAGATGGTGGTCTGGCTCCATGATGCTGGTCCCTCTGCTCAGGATGGTGTTGGAGCCCTGCACCCCTGGGTGAGCGGGGAACACTTTGCATTCCAACCCTGACTCGGTTCTTACAGAGAGACTGCAGCATCTTCTCAGGGTAAAACAGATAATGTCAGTGAGAAATGTTTGAACATTTTTTTGATGTTTATTTATCTCAAGATTTCACTCCTTTAAAAGAAGCAAACAAATGGAGACCTTTTTTCACAGTTATTTTTATCTTGCAATACAGATACTTCTGTGTATGAAGATTTTGACTTTTCTATAAGAAGTTGTTTTTCTGGCTAAATAAAAAGTAGATAGAGAAACCTTACTTGCAAACTTGGGTGTAAATGATTAAGAGCAAGGCACTGGTGCTAGAACGGTGCATCTTCATTTTAAAACATGAAGGAATTGGGGTTAGGAATGTGTAGTTCTATTAAACAGAAACCTGGTCTTTCTGACCCATAGGAAAATTCTACTGTATGTTTATAGATTATGATGCTTAAAAAGCATTGTTAAAGGTTGGTGTGTAGCTGTGCTGTACCAGGAGGAACCAGTGAGCTTCCCTTACTTTGTTCCTAGTAGGAAATTATTTACTGATCTCCTTTATTAGCAGCAAATTGCTTCCTCCTCCCGTGCTAGCTCGCTGTTTTGGCTGAAGCAGGAGGTGACAGGGCTGGTGTCAGGACTGTGACCATTCTCCACTCACCTGCCATGGGACAAAAAAGAAATAATCTTGTGCTTTCTGGAGCCCGACTCATGTTGGGAGGAGGCTGGAAAAGGGAGTGGATGGGTAATATATGCTTGATATGAGCAAAATTGTGGTCCATCCTTAACGATCTTCTCAAATCCCGTTTATCCTTTTCAATTCCTCTTGAAAACAGCAAACATAGAACTAAGAACATATCTAGACTATTTTTCCCCATTTTCTCCCCCAAACTTAAAAATATTACTGGGAACTTGTATTTGAATATTTATTGATATTCCTTAATCTCTTAATGAAAGAGGCATGAATTCTGTTTTCTCTCATTTTAAACAATGGGAACTTTATTGAATTGTTTGGTAACCTGAGTATTGTTCAGAAAAGAAATCTGATAGAAGTGCAGATCTACTGACCGGCAAAGATTTGTCTCCTTTTAATGAAAGATAATTTTGTATTAAATGAAATCTTGGTAAGAAATGCATGATTTGGAATGTAGAGACACTCATTGTACTATTAAATTTCTTTTGATCTTTTTTACCTCTAAGCTTATCTAAACTATTTACAGTTTTGTAATTGTTATTTTGTGTCCATGGATGTTGTATTGGGGCTGGAAGGGAAGGTATGCTCCCAGTTGTTATATTTCACTGTTCCCTGCTGTTGTGATGAAAGCTGGGGCTTCATGGAAAGTTCGTCTGTGTTTGTCTTCCTAGAAGTGACTAGTTTACATTGTACATCCAGCAGTTGTCTTTCTGCTCATAAACACTTAATTCGTCTCAGTGTCTTTTTGGCATAACCTCCTGTCTAATTTGCTGCCGCATGGAAAGAATGAAAGGTATTTTAATGGCCTGACTTGACTTTAATACAATATAGCTAGTCATAGGAAGGTGAATGGACTAATAGGGACCTTTAATTATTTGAATACATGTGGATTTGACACTGGAGTATATACTGAAGGGTGTTTCGCTACTGTCTTGGATCTTTTGCTACATCAACCTATCTAATAAACTCTTACAATTTTTATTTTATTTTGCTTCAGGCTGTTCTTTTCTTTCACTGTTCTATGGTTGAGAAAGGCCTGTTGACCAGGTGCATCAGTGACGGTTATCTTCTTTCCTTTTGTTCAAATGCTTTATTTATGACAAAAGCGTCTCAAAAAAATCCCTGTCCACTTTTTTCCTCTGCTGGACAGTACTTGCTCAGGCTGTACTTGTATCCTGTCTTAGAATCATTTATGTTAGAAAAGACCTTTAAGATTGAGTCCAACTGTCTTGCCAGCTGCCTTTACCATCCTTCCATATATACTACTCTAGTCCATAAAATAGAGCTGAAATGAAATGCAACTAAAGCAGTCTTTATGACTTGTTTCTTCGACGTGTTATTCTCCACCCTTTCTGTTACGCTTTTCTATTGAGCTGTGTGTGTGGTTCCTGCCCTTCAGGTTTGTATGTTACATGAAGATATACCTTGATCTAACCTCATATTTTTTTGATCTTCCCAAAGTCTTCTATATGGTGTGGCAAACCGTTACCTTCATTCCTTTCTCTTTGAGTTGCTGGACTTTCTCCTATGCTGTCTCATATGTTGCGCCATTTTGTTTCAAAAACCTTCTCTTAGATCAGCCTTCTCAGTTAACTTAGATCTATTCTAAAATCTGCGGGGAAATGTTGAGTCACGTAGCAACAGAGAAATGTGAAGAACGCATTTTATTATATTTCTGGTGGTTTTGTTGGTGTGGGATTTTTTTGTTGTTGTTTTTTTAATGGAGTTCTTAAGGCTTTTGTTTGCCTTTAACAAGAAGTTTTTTTGTTTAGTTTTTTTTATTCTACTATTTTTGATCTTTACATCTTGACAATTATTTTCTCTTGTTTATTTTAAAAGATTTTATTACAAGATTAACATCCTTTGTGTACCACAAGTTGCTGAAAATGAATTCTTTTCTTTCTGCTTGGTCTTTTTGTTACTAACAGGGGAAGATTCAAGTACCATGAGAAGCCAGCATCAAGATCCCATTCTATGAGTCCTCCTCACCGGACAGATGAAGATAACCTAGCCACACCACTGTCTGTAAGATGCTTATCCTTTTTGTCATAAAGCTTGCTCTAGTTGCAATGACTTGGTTTTGTATATTTCCATAAAGCTGTTATTTCAAATTGCATGAGTCATGATTCCTGTGTATGAGTGCAGACATTTGGAAAGGAGTGATAGGAAGGACTAAAGCTCATCAAAATCTGCCCTCTGCAAGTGCAGGGGAAAAGAATTTGTTGTAGGATGCTCTCCATTCATCCTAATGGTTGACCTCTGTTTAGTGTAGTGTGTTTAATGCCTGCTGCATTGTTTTCCCTGGGCTTGGCAAGCTGACTGTATTGACATCATCTTGTGTTTTGCAATAGTAGATTAAAGAAAGCTGCATAGATGTCTTTGGCTCTGTTTAATGATGGTTGACCTCTGAAAGAGTGATTTTTGGACAGTTTGTTTTATCAGGGTTTCCACAACTAGCATTATGGCTGATGGAAGGACACTAAACAGACTTCATGTAAAACCCTTTTAGTCCAAAATATTTAATGATACTGTCTGTATAATTGCAAGCATTTAAACTGGAAATCACTCCTGACAAATATAGGTTATCAACAAGTATGCTATTTTCCTTTGTGAATGTGTTCTGTAGCCTTGTAGTGCCCAGTCTTTATTACTGGAGAGGTGTCTCCTGTGGTTCCTTCCCCATAGTCAGTGCATCAGTAATAGCTCTCATTCCTCCAGGAACCACGGTATTTGGTGTGTGTACATTGTCAGTCTGCCCACACTTATTTTTTTGATTGTATTAGAGGAACAGTTTGGAAAGGTTGCAGCTGGAAGTGGGCTGTTGACACCTGAGTAATTCATATAGATTGTGCTTATCCTTCTTTACTGGGCACAATTAAGAACTTCGGAGGACACAAAGTGCTAGTGGGATAAACTGGAAGCTTGCTTTCTGGGGAACTTTGTGTTCTGCTATGTATTTGGAGTAGAGGAGTATCAAGGAGATGCTTTATCATGGCAGGCTACAAATGGTCTGTGGGCAAAAATTGAATGCCTCTGCTCTAGACTCTGGTTGGCGTGAATGTACTTATAATGTGTGTGTTCATTGTATATATAAGAAATGTAATTAAAAACAATACGCCATAACTAAAAATAAAAACAGATCCTGGATTTCCTAAATTTCTCCGTATTGGCTTCCTGTTTGTTTTACTTTCTTATGGAACAGTTATTGTAAAGAATAGGATTTCCTTCAGTTGAAATCTGGATTTGGGGCTTTAAAGTTTTTTGGGGTTTTGTTGTTTTATTTCTTTGTTGGTTTGGGGTTTTTCTTGTTCCTGGTTCTACCACAGACTTCCAGGGCAACGTTAGACAAATCACTGCAATTCATTGTTCTTCAGCTCCATATACTGGATTCTGCTGTGATTACAGCTTTAAAAGGGCCTTTAAGTGAAACAATCCTCTCTTGCTTTGCCAAACAGTTTGATGAACATTTGGCTGGCTGGAACAAATAGTATCTTGTTCTGTTGTCAGTGACGCACAGATGTTCTGGCATAATACAGGCCCAGGTAGAGGAACAGGGAGTCTTTTAAGAAACATTAAGAACTGCCTCAACCAAGCGTTGATTAACTGAAGTCAAAGCTTCATTCACTTTATGTTCATGATGAATGAGCAGATTTAAAGAAGAGGTGCTTGCATGGCAGTGCACAAACCTCTCGCTACCGAAACTTACTGGGACAAAGTAATTCATGCTTCAACATTCTGTTTTTTGAATAGCAGTATATCTCAGTTAAGGAAAATTTATGTACCAGCTCCCCTATTTGATACATTTAATGCACTCAGTAGTTACTGCTGTCCTGAGGAGTAACTTTCCTCTCAAAGACATACCCTTGAGCACCAGTAGCTACATTCCTGGCTGGATGGTGGGAATTTTTTTTTTTTTTTTTTTTTTTTTGT